CGTAGGATGAGTGGCACAATTTTGTAGTCTTGTTACTAACTAAGGCCGACATGTTGAAGGGAACTTCAACACCCTTCCCCCCGTTATAGTGGAATCAACGACACGTTATTGCCTTATAATATACGAATTGGTCTAATTATTAGGATAGTCGTAGTGTGGAAGTTAATCCACACCAGGGAGTATCGCATCCACAGATCATGCCTATAAACATCCACTGTCCTTACCTCCTGAGCTGGGTTACAGGACGACGAAACGGTCTCAGTCAATTTAAAAATATCGCGTCACGGTCTCAGTCAATTTACAAATACCAATCAAAATTAGATTTGCTAGTATACGTGTTGAAACCACGGCCTAGTGATACGGAACCAACCATTGAGTTGGCCCAAAATTTTAAGTAAAACAGATATGTATCTTATCCGAAAATTGTCTCTGTGTCGAATATCTTCACGGAAAGCTGTCCTATGGTTTATTCTGTGTTGGTATTTTACAGAGTTTAAATGTGGCGACATAATAATTATGTGAGATGTTTTAATATGAGTTGGTGTGTTATTTGTGTGTTAAAACAACCATGTTCATTATTTAATGCAATATTGGTTTTTAAAGTTTATGAAGGCCATAGCTAAGTAAATCACCTATACATTTTAGCTATTCATTGTAAACATAGACTAACGTGTGTTAGACAAACATACATAGCTCGTAGAACATAGGATAACCCAACATTAATTTTACGTAACGTAAGTAATGGATTAAAAACCATATTACGTACAGTACTAACGACCTTTCAAAAAGAGTCACATGTAAAAATTACATTTCTGAAAAGCTCTAATTCTAATACGTTTAATTAAATAAACTTTACATAAATTGTTTAATAGGGCTATATACAACTGTTAAACACTATTACAACAAATTAATTGTTATGATTTCCAATTTATATTTTATTTTGGTTACAATATAAATGAACTAGAACTTATTATGCAAGGAGAAACAAGTTCCTCAGCCAAAGCAGGTTCAACCACTTCTCAGCCAATTAAACAACACCTTGGTTTCTCACCCCTAATTTTGGGGTTGTCTGTGTAACCTATCTTTGCCGTGAACATTATTTCAAAATGTATAAAAGTAATAATTGAACATGTTCCTTTGTGGTTTTAATTAGTTGTATTTCCAAAATAATTTAATAATTCAAACTTTAATATAAAATAAAGTATTACTTATGTAAGCCATAACTAATCAAAGTTACAATATTTATAAACCAATGAATTTGTTAATATAAATGCATTATAGTGCCATCAATAATTCAATAAAATTAATGAAGCTTATTGCGATTGTTCTGGTGGAAGGAAAATAATAAACATTTCCTTGAATACAAATTACAGTATTTGGATTTTAATTAGAATAAAATAATCGTAGATTTGTTGTGGTGGTGTTAATAAATTAGCTAACCATAACAATCCCTATATTATCTTATTAATTTAAGACCTTGGGGCACAATCTTTATCATATTAAAACAGTTATTATTGTACTGTAAACTACGATGAGAGGTCTCTCTTTACACAAGAAGTTAAAATTTCCCCACTTATCACACATTCCAACGTTAATAGTAAACTTAAATATATCTTTTATTTTGCAAATATTTATTTTACAATTTCAAAGTAAGATATTTAGCAAAATCAGATGTCTGTCAATGTTTTGATTTCACTTTTGTGTTTGTTGTGTATAAATTGGTTCCTCAGTAGCTCAGTAAATAGGACGATGACTGAGAAACCAAGGAGCGACGTCTTGGGTTCAAATCCCGATGACATTCCTTAATATTCTTTCTTCCGATGCACATTCTCCCTCCCATTTTTGATTGATAGGCTTCATGTCTAGGCTCAAAGTCCATTGTGGACTGCCAAATTCAAGGTTTTAAGTAAACGCAAACTCACAAAATATAAATAATGTTTTCTCCGTATTCATTCTGTTGGGCTTTAAAATTTTGAAACAAAATTTATAAGTAAAATGTCTAAATCTCCTCAATGCGTATATTTCTTTAGTATTCCTTTTTGGAATATTAATTACAAAAGAGGTTTCAGTTGAAATTAAAAACATAGTAAACGAAACTATTTTTCACTGAATAGGTATCTTACAGGTTCTTGGTAAAGATTATTTTTAATTTATTTTTATTTAAAGTCCTACGCTGCAAGAAAAATAGTTTCGGTTATATTAGTTTTATTATTGTATGAGTGTTATTGTGATGTAATGGTTACACTTACCATTACAAAAGGTGAAATGTGCCACCAATCACATACAGTAACTACACAGTAAATTACATTGAAAATATTGTATGATAACTTCACCCCTGCCAACATCCCACCCCTCCCACCCTATGTATAACAACGCCCTGCAGGCTGGGAAGGCTGCCTTCTAGTTTGTCACGTTCACACACAATCCCTAGACCACTTTTCACTCAAGTATTTCATTTCACCAACAATGGAAATTATACTTAGATATGGTCCAATGAGAATTAATTAATAAAGAGTTGAGACGATAAGAATTCTCAGATTTAAAAAAGCGTTTTGTTTTATGTACCAAAGAAAAATTTCGAAAACTTTCTAAGATTAATGAAACTCAATGTAATGTTTTATTATTTAATGCTTTTACTGTATTATAAAATGTGGATCATTCTCATTTATGAGTTATATTTTATTTTTGTAATAATCATACTTTTTTAATTAGTATTATGACCAAAACTTTTAAGATGCTTAGTATTGTATTTTTTCCAACTGCATTATTATTAAAATTTCAATTTTTTCAGATCAATGAGATACAAATTTTATTCCTTTTAGTTCACAAGTTTGACTAATGCCATACAAAGTTACATCTAATTTTTTATATTTAAAATCAAAATAATTAGGTATGAACACGTGGAGGTTCCCTTTACTACTTTTATTTCAAATCCCTCTTTGATATTTGGAAGTCACTTTTCATTCAAGTAAAAGTGACCAATTATTTAGTACTAGTTATAAACCAATTGTCAGGAAAGATAATATTAAACTTCTTCGCATACATTAACGCATGCTGTATCTTGCCAAATGTTTGTTGAGGTGAAAGTGTAGCTTGCTATTGTACTGTTTACAAACACGCTGTAGTACCTTTGCCACAACTACATCTCAATGTTGTAGTATTGTCACAGGGTGTTGTTTTGTAAATAGGGGTTGTAGACTGAATTTATGAGACGATTTTAACTGCCTATGTTATTTATTTATAAGTTTTTTTTACCTAAATTTAATTGTAATAAGTCTATTCATAGTTTCTTCTTAAATGGTTTAACCTACTGTATATATACTGTATGTAAGGGATTTTAAATAAATCCACAATATAAATGTTATCAGTGTGTTGTTACAATATAATTGAAAGCCCTAAGAATAGCTCTTAAAATTATTGACAAAAAACTAAAATTTTAAATAAAAACATCACCAATATTTAATGAACTATTGATTATATGATTCGTGAAATTAAAAGTTCATTAAATATTGTTTCTTTTTTATTAAACATTTTATTTTACTCAATATTACTGGTGCTTTTTTGAGGTTGGCGGCTCTCTTAAGTTCTTCTTGACGATTGACTAATAAATAGTTTTTTGTAGCATAATTTTACTATATTTAGGTCTATTTAACCTTAAATACACTTCGGCATATTTTCAGATAGTAAAAAACATATTTTACGCCACACTACATTATTTTGACGAACTTCCCACGCAAGGATTTAGTCCAGAAAAAAGCTGTTTGCCGCCAGCTTATTCAAATGGGGTTTCATTGCGTACTACTGTGCTGCAATGGGTTTTGCCGGACACCAATCAGCTGATTATACTGTATTTAGGTGGCAGTGAGTGGTTATAAACAAAAACATAACCTCTCTTAGAGGTTATGACTAGTGATTTATAGTCCTTTAGTTAATGGAAATATATAAGGATTTGTACGGATTTAGTAGTATGGCGTAAACTATCGTACGTAACTCGTCCAAAATATGTGTACCGGACTCGTACGGTAATCCCGTACTCGACTTCGTCTCGCACGGGAACGACCACACTCGTCCGGTAAACACTTATTTTCAGGACTAGTAACGTAATATACTATTACGTTATTGAAAAACATTTTCAAATCCTACCAGCGGTAAAGAATGTCGTCTTAAGACCAAAACTCTTTAAATCTGAAGGCAAGTATTATTTAAAATGTTTTTCTTTTTAATTAATATATTTTCTATATAGGTTTGACATATAACATTCTTTAGGTCCTCAATTATACTGTATTATATAAAAAAATATGATTTGTATTGAGTTTTGTAATTTCGTTGGAGGAAATTAAACAAGAACCTGAAATAAACATAAATGTATGTAGGTGAGTTTAGGTTAGGTGGTATAGTTATGTTATTTCCATTACTTCCATAGATTATAAAGCAGATCTATAATTTCTGACCGTTCATACCTGATTTATAGTTTAAAATGAAAGATTGGCATCGCTACTTTAAACAGTTGATGTTTTGCAGTTTATTTTGTCCGAATCGATGTGTAAAACTAATTTTACTGCCACCAACCTTTTATTACCGTAGGAATGGCTAGTTACTTCATATTCATAGTTTCCCATAAACATCAATATTTCATATTTAAACTAATTATCAAATTAAACCATTACAGTACTAACTTAACTAATATATTCAGTTGAATTAAAAAGGGTTAGAGCAGGTAACAGAATTTTGTCAAATTGAGTTAATAATACCTTAGATACACGTAGAAATCTCTTAAAATACTCAACACCTTAAGTATATCAAGTTTAACACAAATTTGTAAAGCATGCGTTATCAATTTACCGAGTGATGTAAAGTAAACAAGCCCAAAGTCCAAGACCTACAACAATGTGCAGACGCTGAGCCGGTATCAGCTGTTTATCGCGGAGAGTTGGCAGTACTGAGGCGTCGCTACGCCGACACTGCTCTCTGCCGAGCGTCGCGTCAGTCGACCGGTGAGTGTCGATGGTGGCGCGTCGTGTCGCTGTGCGCCGCGTTGTTTCTAACGTGCTATCGTGAATAATGTGTTTACGGTACTACTGTCAGTGTTAGTGGTATTTTGAGGTGAGAGTTGAGAAATATGAATATAAACTATTGGGAAATATTAAACCAGTAAAAATTACTGGTAATGGATATATAAAATGATTGCAAATAAGGTTATGTTAGTATTTTATTCGTATATTATGGTGTGACCACAAATTATTGGTATGTTGCTTTGGTCATTATTAATCTCACTAATTTATCACCGGTCTTAACACCAGTGTCTTTATGTAACAAAGAACCCCAGGAAACTCATCGGTCAAACTCTTTTACATTTTTCTACATGTGCCGGCTACCAAATAATATATTGGTCATAATAATATGCAAATATAATATAGCATCCATTCTATTGTAGCATCCCACGTGTACTTCGTTTAAGATCCACCCTAACTGCATTATTATTACGTATTGCAATAAGCCAATCAAACAACTATTGCAAATTGTATAAGCTAACTCTATGACAAAGAATAACCCATCCCTATACCGATTGTGAATACGTGTCTAGGGAATGCGTGACAACAACAAATCAGAGTGTTTCAAGCCCAATATATATCAAACATAGTTGTAGAATAGTATTAATGCTTAACGTTTGTTGTATACAGTGTTATTTACACATTTAACTATAAAGTGGGTTGTAGCAAGTATAGATGGTTGCCTATATAAATGAAGCCTAAGCTACTTTAAAATTTTAACAATAACATAAAATCTTAACTATCGAGCTTATTATTATATAATCCGCTGAAGACAGGCTATGTATCAAATGTTGGTCTATTGTTTTACTGTGTGGGACAAATAAATCCGCACAATACAAACTCAATTTACACTAAATATAATTTTATATAAACAGCAAATCGTTATGTTTTACCGCCACCAGCTTGTCGAAACATGATAATGAAATCAATGAATTCAATGATCAATTTCAATTTCAATGATCAATGAAATTACTTTGTAGTGGTAATCAATAGCAATGAATAGTAATCATCGATTACAACGCCATTGTTATTATTTCTCATGTACACTGTTTAAGGTTTATTTGCAATGTATATTATTCACACAAACGAATATTATTCACAACATAAGGCATAAACAATCTGATGCGTTGTGATCCAATATTTTCGTAGTTCGAACAATTTTAATGCAGGTCCCATTATGAAAATCACAAATCTTTGACATTTTTCAACATGTATATGAAAGAGTTAAAAGAAAATTTAAACAAAATAATGTATTGTGATCGACAAGTAAAGTCAATTTAAAACATATTTCTTTGTAACAGAGTAATAGTTAAATACTACTAAAAGCATATCAACATTTCCCTACATTTCATAAGTAGTTTTACTTACATGGCTAATTTATATAATTTGTTTAACCACTTAAAGACAATTTTTATAACATGACAACCTTTAAAAAATAATCTTTTTTACCTGTCACAGTATTTCTAAATAACTAACTTAATTTAAATGTGTGTCTAAATAATTAACTACATATATATATTTTACCGAATGTAAGTGCTATGTTTGCAATGTCAATCAAGCCAATAACTGATAGCACAGTTAGATAGTTTATGTAATGCCGAGCTATTAGTGTAGGAGGCCACGTGGTTTGGCCATCGATCCGTGGTTATGTCCTGGGCTAAACCCTCTTAATAACCCGACCCAGTTATAGAGGCTTACTCTGGCTTCTGATGCATGCTGATTAAAATACGAAACATCGATACAGACAAAGAATGTTTTGTACTATTGTAAAGATTTTACGAATTTTATATTTTAAAGTTTTGCCATTTAGTAAAGCAGTAAACTTATTAGTTTTGTCAAATCTTGATGTACCTGCAACCACTGTGAGCTCTCTGTATTGGCTCTTCATAGTTCGATCCTATGTAAAGATAATCAGAGTGCCTACGTCACAACCAAGGTTATACAAGGGATCGAACCACGTGGCCCGGTCTCATTTGGTCAGTGTAGTAGTCTTTTATAATGTGAAATTGCTTAGTGCACATATTCCCCTTTGTGGGTGAGTCCTAGCTATAATTTTTATAATTTTATCCTATTCATTGTCGTGAGTACGGAGAGTGCAGGCAGGCAGTGGTCTTTTTATTTAATCATTTTCAGCTTTATGTAAGAATATAATTTGGCCCTTCAGGCAACTAAAAATATCTTTCGTTTTTAGGGTTCAACTACCAGTGAGGAAAAATTCAATAAATGGGAATTAAATCTAAAAGACTATTAATTATTTACATGAACCAAAACCTGCATAGTTAAATTTCTGTGTGAATACAACTATCCAAGAACACTCAAAAGTTTGTACGGGTTTGAAAAGACATTTTAAAGTAAAACGGTACACTATTGACCAAAAACATTCATTCAAGTTTTAAATTAATCATAGTGTCTTTACTGGTTGACTTTTGTTTTTCTACAAAGATATCATTCGTGTGAATTAGTTTTGATTGAAAGCAGTGATCGACTATAAAAATCACATTTTGTAAAATTTTCTAAACAAATGCAATTTGGATTGATTGGATCATAGGTAAGTGTGACAATAAACGATTTATCTAAAAAGTTGTGTGTTGAGAATATATAATCTGCTTACTTATGCAAGCGAAAATATGAAACTCTTCTAGGATAGAGGAATATTATTTTGTAGTAGTTCTAATTGGTAATTCGGGGGAGCGAGCTGGCGTAGTGGTTAGAGCGCGGGACTTCAGTCCCTGAGGTCCCGGGTTCGATCCCCGTCAAGTCACCAATGGATTTTATCTCAGTGATAATGCCGTAACCCCTAGGTCTAGCCTGAAGTAATGTGAAAAACAATCCCAGGTTCGTGTCTAGCGTCCTAGGACAAACAAGTGGTAGTTCGAGAAAAAATTCTTTAACTTAGGAATTAAGTCACATATTTAGTAAAACTGCGTATCTTTTGCTCCGAGTTTGTATGCCCCATATCACCATTTGCCTATATCTGTATGGGCTATTAATTAACATTCCTGTCTAAGGAACATGTCGGCCTTAGTCAATAAAGACTACAAGATCGCGCCACTCATCCTACCTCATCTCCATTCATACTTGGCTTAAAATACCTACTTTCGTATGGTTGTCATTTCAGTTAAAATTATTAAAGTGTGTCTAAGTGTGTATGTGTGTGTAATGCGGCTTTACTGTGAATCACACAACCCCTCCAAGAAACAAAACATGGTTGTTTACATACAGGGAGTTAACGCGCCATGAGAGTTATATGTTTTATTACCAAACAATAATAATGAGACATCGTAAGTTTTACAATAAGAAGTAATGTTTAATAAACTTTTTAAAGCCAATGAAAGTGTTATTTCAGTGGTCAAAGATAACCAAATTACCAAAAATGTGGATAAGTCACAACAATTACTTCAAAATATAAAATAAAACATCGTAACAAAACATTTACATCTCGATTTTATTTCAATTTTTTTTTTCTAACCATGAAAAACTATTAAAAGCTTATCGCAAAGGTATAAAACACAGCTAAATAGGGAAATGTTGAAATTGATACTTATAGTCCATGCGATAAAAGATGTGCAATGAAAATACATGAGGTGTAATTAAACCATTGTTTATTGGCTATCAGCTGATAGCTAAAACGGATGTTGCAAATTTATACCACAATAGGCATCGATTCATCTAAGTATATGGAACGATTTGGGGGCACAGATTAAATTGCTTAAAACTTATCTGATTATTTGGATAATGTATCTATATGATTAAAGATTAATTATAATTATTTAGGTAAATCATGCACAATGTGAATTTCAGTAAAAAAATTAACTGCAACTAATCAGTCGGGAGATTGTCAATTTGGCATACACAGTCTACCTGATTAACTATTTTGACCATATATTTAAATTCTAACATAATCAGCTGAGTTGAAAAGAAAAAATAAGAGTAAACTTCACAGGGTTTCGTAGCTAAACATTTGTTATTGTACAATATTACTATTTGACAATGTTCAAAGTTCTTATCTTTTACCCTTATTGGGTGTTAGTAAAATTATGTTCTATCATAAGCTTTCAGTATCTATTAACAAATATAAGTGTAAATTGTCAAAAACTAAAATTATTGTTAGAACAAGTTGAATGTCATTCCTACTACAAAAGTCTTTGAGTACAAAAACAATTTAGAACACTATTCATCAGAAAAAAAAAACAACTACTCAACACAATTACTCATACAACGGCTATTTAAAATTTGCAGATTAACTTGCTTAGTACATTTTTTTAAATATTTACTTACACTTTTCATTAATGTTACATTCATCGATGAAGAACAGTGGTTAGTTTAAAGCAAATAGAAAAAAGAAAATAGTATTAAATGAACTAAATGGTGGGTTAGTTTTTTTTTAACTGAATCATAAAAAAAACTATGATTTAAGGCACATCTACCCGTTCAGATTAGAGATTAAGGTGAACCTGTTAGCTATGAACATTAAATGTAATAGGTCGTTTTTATTTGTTGTTAATTTGAGGGATTTGAACCTGGGACTTCGACAACCGAAGTCTCTACCACTAGACCAGTTCGCTCTCCTCAAATGTAAAAGGTAGTAAGGCAGGGTGGCCAAAAAGTTACTTTGCTAGTGTACAAAAGTTATTAAATAGTCTCTGAAACTTTTAAAAATGTTTTACATTAATCTTGTAGCTAGATTTTCACGGACCACCTTATATTGTACATTATTTGGTTTATGAAAAAAGCTACTTTAACTAGGTTAAAAATATTTATTATTCTTTACCTCATATACGTTCAACAACGTATAAATACAAAGATATTAAATAACATTGACATATTTCGAATTATATGTTGACCAGCAATTAAATATAACCGCTAGATTGGACACATATTTTTTGATTGAATAAGGAAATTCAGGAGAAATAAATTAACGCAGAATAAATTTTAAATTAAAGTTGTTTTAAGGCTATAAGATTTAAAACACAATTATTGGAAATAGACTGTTGGATGATTTGATTGGATTAAATTACATTGCGTTTGTGGAGGCTAAAATTAATTTATTGT